TACGACAACAGAGATGATTTCAGCTTCCCAATTGTAAACTTTCCATTTCTATGTAGCAATAGTCCAGCAGCGCCTTCATATGGAGTAAATATCTTCAAGTTGATACGATATGCCAGAGCTTGTATTTCCTATCATGATTTCCTTAATAGAGGGTTGCTGCTTACAAGGAAGCTATTAAACCATGTTCCAAGTGGTGAAGTTGAAACAGTCCTCCGTAAATTTTACGGACGCCATCACGAGCTGGTTGACCGTTATGGAATATCTGTTTCACAGATGACGACCGATATGTATCAACTGTCGTAAACTACTATATCGTCTCCTTTCCCTCGAATATGACCTACCGGATTAGACATATCACCAAGTTTGTACCTACATGAGCATCACGAGGGGTGCCACATGTGGAGCAGGATCTACTAATCCTTCTGGAGCACCTGAGATCACCCCCAGTTTTTGTTGGGGTTCGTGTTGCTCATTCTTTGGTTTTCTATGCTATGTTTTGTTTACTGTTGTTTGTCTGTTTGTCCTGTATCCTTTGCCTCTCTTTTACTAGATATATCCATAATGACTCGCTTTCTTTGTATTGTACCCTTCTACTCTTTGAAGTGCACGTTCGACTTTTAACAACCGACAGGAAAAAACATGTCTCCAAATCCGCACATATGATTTTGACTCTCCTACCTGTGTTTGTTTTTTTACCCTTTATAGCCGTAAGCTTCGGAGGAAGCGGAAAATTCCAAATGTGTAAGTATTTTGTTAAACCCGACCTGTGGTCGAACACCAGCCGTCCGCCCTCGAGTATGAAGTGATTGTTTGAAAAAATATTTTTCCTACAATACCAGGTAAATATGAACTTGATTTTTTTATGTTTATTCTGTTATTCCTTATTGGTTTATGCATATTTATTCAACATGTTCAACGGACGCTTATTACTGTGAGTATTATATTCGGAGATATTCATATTGATTCATTGTCATTTTCATGTTCTCTGTAGTAGTCAAAGGAATAATATGTTACAAAATAAAAAGGCATTACCACATTGGATATGCAGAAAAAATCAAGAGTCTTTATGTTGAATAGATGTGCCCTAAAATAAGCATAAATGAAGCAGGAAGATAAAATGAGGTTTCCTTTGCAGTCATCTCCTTGTCAAATCTATGTCAAATCTATGAAACTAAGTGCGTCCTGTTGTTTTAAATGTGTTTAGATAAGATTCAGTTTTACGTGTTCAGATCATTGACATTTAATAGAGAACCAGACGGAAGGATGCAGATAAAGTTTTTCAAAAACATTTAAAGATCATCTGAATTAAAGAAAAACAACCTAAAATGAATGTTAACTATGACAAAACTACTTTAGAATTATGACCTGTTGAGTAAAACAAAGCACGTTCATTATTGCTTTTCATAAAAGTTGTATGTAATTCTAATATGACGTGCTTCGTTCGCTGTGTAAACAACACCCTGATAAAATTCTCGATATATCTATACTTAGCGCAGACTCCGAGATGTACATAATAATGGCTGTTAAAACATACCTCCAAAGTAAATCCACATGTATCGCTACCTATGTGCAAACGCTATGTCGATTTCGCTGTGTTAAAAATTACAATTGAAAAAACCCACAGAACCTTTATTCTTATTCTGAGTCATAACAAAAAGAATTAATGCATTAGAGATCGGAAAATGTACAGAATCATAATAAATTAAAATTCCGCGAAATTCCTTTAATGTTTTTGGCGCATTAAAGTCAATTCAAAACATGATGTCATACGAATGAAAACGCCAAAGCTGAAAGTTTTTCCATTGTGTTTACCTTCTAAACTCGGATAATATTGCATTAAAATAAAGTTTTGAGGTAGGTGTTCCTTTTTTTCTATTCTATTGCATAATTCGCACATTTACTGATTTCGTCAAGTCAACATGGCGGCTCCTTGGTTACAAAATGTCAACAGTGAATTTGACGGTAGCTTACGAGAAAAAATGCAAAATAAAAATGGAAAATGTTGGGTTTGAGAATTGAAAAAATCAATCACATTTTTTTTCTAGCGGTTATTTGAGAAATGGTTCATGGGAGCTACAGATTTATTAGATTATTTTTTCATTTATCTAACAGTGGGTAAAATAGAACAGCCACACGGCATACCCACCCTCGCTTCAATTTTTTAATGACCGTATTTGTCCTATTAGAATCGACATAATTCATGGAAGCCATCGATTTGTTGTAAATTTACACATGGCCTGGGCCGTGCTATTCGTTAATTTTATCCCTATATAACGCTCAGGATAGAATTCGAATATCACGGCCAAGGCCATGTGTAAATTTCCAACAAATCTATGGCTTCCATGAATTATTTCTTAAATTAATACCTTGCATTTTATGTCTGAAACATTTGCAACCTGTTTAGATTTTACAAGAGAAAATTAATAAAAACGATGTTGAAAATTACTAAGATTTACTGCTTTTCATATAGTACAGGATTTGATAAGATTAATTGATTGATTGATTGTTGTTTAACGTCACTTTCAACAATATTGTGTTATTTTGTGGAAGTCAGTTTTTATTGGTGGAGGAAGCCTGAGTGCACAGAGAGATCCATTGACTTTCGGTAGGAAAACTGACAACCCTAGTCAATTAAGATTGCTGTCGAGTGCACCGAAACTCACAACATCTGTGTTGACAAGCTAGGAATACAGTTCAGCTATTTATGTTTTCGAGTTATTATGTTTTGTTTATAATATCATGTGCTAGTCTTCAAATACTTGAATGGGATTTGTCCGTTATAACATTTTCCTTAGTTTACTCTTAAAACAACATTTTGCCGAGACTACTTTCATAACTTATGTATACTATGTATGCACTGTGTCAAATTCACTTCATTGATATATATATATATAAAGTTTGAACGTTTGAACGTAGTTTTCAATTTAGACTTGTTTTTATTTTTTCGTTTGGGCTTGTATCATATTTGCCTTCGGGTTTATATGATTTCGTCTCTTCAAAATTCAAGATCCGTTTATTTAGCAATCGCCAATGACAGTCAGCAGGGTTTAAGAACATCCGTTGTTCGACCTGCTAGTCAAATGCGTTTTGTTAAAATATACTTTTTCACTTTTTTTTTGGTCTTTTGGAAAATGTTGTTTGTGCTGTATTTAGACCCCTCTACCAATAAATTTGTTTTGCATCACTTTATTATTAAATAAACGTGTTTTTTTTATTGTAGTCGATCTGACCACTACAGAAGCATCAACAACAAGAAAGTTGACTTCTTGTCAACAATTAAGATCTTCAACGAAAGAGTTCTCTTCCGATTTCTACATTCCTGAATGTACAATAACAGGTGAATATGAAAAACGCCAATGTGAAGTAAAAGTCGGGCCTAAAACATGTTGGTGTGTTGATCCAAATGGAAGAGAAATACAAGGATCACGAATGAAGGAACCTGAGGTTCCAGATTGTCATGGAGGTAGGTGTTATCAAATGGTAAAAAAAGGTTGGTTGGAAGATAATAACTTTAAGTTGTTTTTCAGATAAAGCTTTAAAATAAACTCTCTAGAATTGTAATGAATACAAATGCATGTATTGTTCGGCTCATTGACAAAGAAATACCGGGCTTCTTTCTGTTCGTCAATTTGAAAGAAATAGACAAGCCAGTAACCTTATATAATTAAATTTCCACCTAAACTGATGTCTAGGAAAGCACCAAATATGTTTTTTTTTATCTCAAGCATTTGCGTATAACTTAAAGATCATGTTAAGTCAATTGTTTAACATTTCACAGCGGTATAACATGTTACTTTAATTATTCTTCCCTTAGTTTATTTATTTTGTATTTACATTGTATCATATATCAAATTTTTTGGTTCAGTTCATGTTCACTGGTGTTAATATGTCTTTTGATTGAATTAAGCCATTTCAATTGATATTTTATAGTATGTCTTTCTATGTTGTGATGTTACACTATTATTTCAGATAAGGGTGAATGTTTGGTACCATTAAAACGTTTAAACCCGCTGAAAATGTTTGCACTTGTCCTAAGTCGGGAATCTGATGTCTAGTAGTTGTCGTTTGTTGATGTGGTTCATAAGTGTTTCTCGTTTCTCGTTTTTATAAGATTAGACCGTTGGTTTTCCCGTTTGAATGGTTTTACACTAGTAATTTTTGGGGCCCTTTATAGCTTGCTGTTCGGTGTGAGCCAAGGCTCCGTGTTGAAGATCGTACTTTGACCTATAATAGTTTACTTTTATAAAATTTGACTTGGATGGAGTGTTGTCTCATTGGCACTCATGCCACATCTTCTTATATCTATATATGATCCATAAAATTTAACCAGAAAGATGAATATGTTTTTATAACTGAATGGCTTGTTTATATTATAAAACACTTGTACATATAATTTCTTCAAGAGAAACTCCTTTGTTTCATTCAAATCAAGGAAACGCTGTTTTTCAATTATTTTCCTCCCATACTCTAATTCGCCGTAATTTTGTATACCATCCCGTAACATGACAAATCTTCGTTAGAATTTGGCAAATGCGAAGTAAACAATTGTGATGGAAGATATAATTTTTAAAAGCGGAAGGAAGATAGTGCTAAAGATTTAAAAACAAACCAATAAGAATGCACAATCATATAATAATTGTTATGGCAAAGTGTTATTGACTAATGTGAACGTATGGGAAATATCAAAAAAAGAAATAAAAAGTGATCATCGCTTTATCATAATATTCTAAAACACAAGCCTTCATGAGTTTCTGTTTGATTATTTACCAAAGTCATGATCGTATGAAAAATCACCGAATGAAGTATTTGTTGTCGATTATATCGTTTTGATTCGTAATAAATGTATATAAGGAATGTGCAGAGAGGACCAAGTTACGTATATATGAATGCATTGATTCACTAATTCTATAAACATGAAACACTAAAAATCGTTTTATATGACCTGAAGAAATTTATAATACAAATGTTTTGATTTTTTGTCTTGTTTTCAGGACGAAATTTGAAACCTTGTGTTTTTGAACTATTACAGACCAGCGGTGGTTTATTAGGAGCACGTCAAGCACGTTGTACATTTGACGGGGAATACGAAGAGATTCAATGTCATGTTAGAGAATGTTGGTGCGTTGACAAAAATGGAATTGAAAGAATGGGAACACGAGTATCCATGATAACTTGGGAGAGATCACTTGTTTGTTAAGGTATTATCAATATGATAGATGATAAGAAAATTAATTGATTATTTTTCTGGGTAACTCCTGTGCTATAGTTGGTTTAGTCCTTATAGGATACAAATGTGCCTTTTCCTGATATTGTTAATTAGAAGTTCCAACCCCTCAAGGTACCAGTTCATGATATAAAGGCAAAAAAAAAACAGTAAAGCAATTTACAAAAAGGAGATATTATCTACTGTTTGATATATCCCATCACAATGATTATACTCTGTTCCAAAGGAGAGGCATATACTAGTACTGGTTGTCTTCGTTTACTTGAGGGGGACCATGTAATTTAAGCTTAATGGTAAGGATGAGGTAGGGTTAGGATTTAGGATACAGTAAGGGCTAGTTTCGTATAACCCCACATGGACAGTGTCCCCTAAAATACACGAATACCGTACTGGTTAACTGTTTTTGCCAGTGCTTTCTTCTGTCTCTAACTGTCATATGTTTTGCCAGTTACTACAAGTTAAACCTTAGTCATTTATGTCACCAATTTTGTCTGATTATTCAGTTTTGTGTGACATGTCAATGATGTTTTCAAGTAGTTTATGTGATAAAACAATAAAAAGGCATGTCCACTAATTAAGATGGAGAATATAGACAAAGATGTGGACATGCCATCGTCCAATACTCATCACACTGACTAAGGGATGAACAACCTTTGTCTGAATTATTCATACGTAAGAGTAAATAAGTAAATACCAGGTTATAATATTTAGTTTGATTCATCCGGTACTAATGAAGGTCATGGCTTTTCTACACAAGAAGTTTATATAAGTGTAATATCACCATTGATTTTCCCCGATTAGTCATTGTTAAATTTGCACTTTTCAAAATATTGTGCAGAATTTATCTTTGTTTCAAATAAAGAAATACTTGACATGAGTAAAGTTTAATCCTGTCCAGTACTATAGAAAAATTTCACATAATGTTTCATTGCATATAAGAAAATAACCATCAATGGAAGTTAACCAATCCAATTTTCACCCTTTTTCTTCCTGTGTATAAGCTTTAGTAACCATGTAACCTCAAGTTTCAAAAATATTCTATAGAAACACCAAATAAAAAAATAATGGTGCTTTGAAACGTCGAAGATACATATCAATGACACAGATTTTTTTTTACTGCAATAAAATGTAAGATAAAATCCCCACAACTGTCAAATTCAAGGGAATATTTTTTTCGGACCCTTTTTCGTATGCAACCGGATGTGACGTACTACGATTTGGTGGTATTACACCGATATAGTTTTGTTTTAAAAAGTCAATAACAGGATGGAGTGATATTTACCTGACTCTATCAAAAGGTACAAGGAGGATATTATTTTTAAATTATTCCAGAATTGAACTGTTATATAAATATATCTTCTTTTATCCGTTATCAAAACCTTTTGGTCGTTTTTACAAATAAAAATGTGTACAAAGTATCTCTTTTGTTTCCGTTAATGGGCAAACAGCACAAAAGTTAATGTAGTTTTGACGATTAAAGGCCTCTAAAAGCGTTATTTGAAATAAGTAAATAATAGACATAACCTTCAGATATTAGTTAAGTCGATATGTCATGGATTGTCATCATCCATGCATTTAAAATTCGTATCTATCCAGTAGTATTTGTAGTGGTCAGGAATATGACAATATTAAGAGAAGATTCATATGATGCGTTACCATAGACATTTTTAGAAGCGACAAATTAACCACTTTGTAAAAAAAATGTAGAACGTTCGTCATATTTTATTGTTAAGTCCCCTTCCTTCATAAAACTCCTGAAACAAAATTGTGTTGTTAGGAATATTTGACAATTTGATGCGTTTATTTGGATTTTTTTATGGGAAGCAAGGCGTTAATACTTAAATGTTAGCAATATCTCCGCTTTTATATCCCTATAACATTTTAAAACATTCAAATTGAATACTAGAAGTATACATATATTTAAAAATCATATATTGCACCTGTGGTTTAACGCTTAAATCGGGGAAACCAACCCATTAGTTATTTTGTTTTACCTTTACAGCAGATTCCATTGAGTGTGTAGCCAAAGGTAATATCTTTGGGTAGCTTGCTTGTTAGCTGAACCGTGAAGTCATTATTGGGTCAGGTATACTACCCTCCTTTCAAAGTAGCATAGCCCAACAGACAGATCGATTGGTTTTCTGTCGGACTAGTCTATTCTTAAAGTAGGGTAGTTTGCCTAACCTAACAATGACTTCACGGTTCAGCTAACAAGCAAGCTAACCAAAGATATTACCTTTTGCTACACACTCAATGGAATCTGCTGTAACATTTCTATGAATTATTGTTACGTTCCCATAAAATGTATATGCAGTCATATATATCATGTTAAATTGAACACAACACATAGTTATAAAAAACAAACATGAGCATTTTTTAATATACCCCTTTGTTTAGAAATTTCCCTTGTGCTATTAAAACGCTATTCAAATTAAAAGAATATTCTGTATGTAGAATATCACATCACCAGATGTTTATAAACTCGGCTGATCAAGATGGTATGTTAACAGCCATGAATAGAAATTTGATATATTTATCGGAAATTGAATTTGGAGGATCTGTCGCGATTAATGCATTTTTGGCAAAATATATACTCTTTCGTGCATCCTGTTTTAACAAAATATGTCTGATATGTACGCAATTTTGCTTGTTAGATAAGGTTACTCTTCCTTTTGACCTCACGTTCACAATGAAAGAAAATTGGAAATAAAATGATATGGCACCAATTGTGCGATTAGTTTTTGAAAGTGCGATTAGAAAAAAAATGTCTTCAAGATTATCATCTTAAGTGATTGTATTATCCCAAGATGTAAATTATAAAAGGAGGAGATGTATAAAGCCTTAGCGCAATGCGGAGCTAGTTGAATTGTTGAACGAGGTTTTTAAGTATGACAAAATATGGATTAAATGTATAATTCGAAAGCAGAAAATATCTTTCGTCAAGTAATAATACATCAACGGAATTTTGTTAGTAAAGCGGTTCAAAAAGGAAAAAAAACGCCAATATTGGTATGCAGCACAAGAGGAATTGAACAGTTCCTGTAAAAATTCACAACTGCTCTTGGGGGGAAATGGAACATTTGGTTAAGGCGATATTCGCCTAAGTTGTATTCCCATGGAAGTAAATATGATTAATCGAAATCATGATAATTTATCTGGAAAATAATGCTTAATATTCTTAAATGTTAAACAAGACTGTTTATCATCCGGATATTACGAAATTAAAGCTGAATTGGAAACAAAATAAATTATTGTAAATGCTCTAACTGAAATATTAATGCTTTTTTAGATTGTAAAAGTTCCGGCAATGTGGTCGAAAGGAGTTATAACTCATATTCCGAAAAGCTCCACATTAGATACTAGGCACCTGATGAGATTGTCTGATTTTGTGATGAACTGAATGGTTTTTGGAATAGATGTTGTACTGTCGACCATTTAAGTAAACTAATTATGACAGAAAAGATCTGGAAGTCTTCGTAAACAATGACCTGATGTATATTTACCTTTCAAAATTCCGATGATTCGATAAATATAAATTTGTTATTTGGAAATTAAAACAAACTTTTTTTTTACTTTTTAAATATACATTGAAAATACAGGATTTCTTTAGCAAAATTGAGATGTGACATCATAGCGCCCATTGGAATAGAAAAAAGAAAAATCACAAAAAATACAGAACTCCGAGGAAAATTCAAAAAGGAAAGTCCTCAATCAAAAAAAAACAAACACATCAAACGAATGGATAACAACTGTCATATTCCTGACTTGGTAAAGGCATTTTCTTATGTAGAAAATGATGGATTGAACCTGGTTTTATAGCTAGCTAAACCTCTCACTTCTATGACAGTCGCATCAAATGCCATTATATTGACAACGATGTGTGAACAAAACAAATAAAAACAAAAGGTAAAAATGTCACAAATAGGGGTAAATAGTCTAATTCGGCAGGTCACACTCGTGAAAAGGGAACGGTCTTGTAGTTACGACATAAGAAACACATCCGATATCATCTTTGAAATGGATATTCCATAACGGTCAACCAACTCGTGATGGCGTCCGCAAAATTTGCAAAGTGATGATTTCAACTTCACCATTTGGAACTCTTGGTTTTAAAATGAAAATTCACAATTGGGAAGCTGAAATCATCTCTTTTGTCGTATAGTTTTGTTTTCATCCGACCCTCATAGTCAATTTCTAGATATAAGTCATAATCAAATGGCAAAATCAAAAGCTCAAACACATGAAACGAATGGATAACAACTGTCATATTCTTGACTTGGTACAGGCATTTTCTTATGTAGAAAATGGTGGATTGAACCTGGTTTTATAGCTAGCTTAACTTCTCACTTGTATGACAGTCGCAACAAATTCCATTATATTGACAACGATGCGTGAAGAAAACAAACAGACACAATAGGTAAAAATGTCAAAAATAGGGGTACAGCAGTCAACATTGTGTTATCATCTTAATCACTATAAAAACAAACAAATGTAACGAAGAAGCACAAAAAGGCATACATCAAATTTAAAATCCTCATTTTGCTTAAATTATACGATTTTATTTATCTATGTAAAATCAATCCATAAAGGATGGAAGGTTTTAAGTACTGGCGTGAAATCGCGCGTTTGAAATTCGCACAGGTAGACATAAAATAATTTTGTCGTTCAAAGTATGAGGGGATACATAAATACAGAGTCACGTCAAATGTTTATCACAAAAAACAGACTCAACGGTAAAAGTAATATTAATAAATAAAATAATTTTGTCGTTCAAAGTATGACGGGATACATAAGCACAGAGTCACGTCAAATGGATATCTAAAAAAAACAGAAAAGATTGATATGAAAAAATAGAGCATGTTTTACATTTTGTTAGATTGTCCAGTATATACAGATATCCGTATAGTTATTTTTGATAATGCTGGTAATGTTGATGAGATAAATTTTTTTTAAATATACCTGATAATGAAAAGTTGATATTGCTTTTATACAAAAGAAAATACGCTACTTATGCTTCCCAAATCTGCAGTGACATGTGATTAAAAAGCTATATGTATTTTTTAACTCATGCTAGTTGACTTGCATTTGTATTACATTAGATCGACTCATAGTAATTCTTATAAAGTTGATCATGTTGTTAACTTGTGCATATACTATGTTCTACATATTATTTGTAAAAACTGATGGTACTTAGATAAAATATTTGTCGTTCTTTTGTTTTGTCTTATCCTGTGTTGTCAATGATGAAATATGTAGCAGATAAGTTTAGCACTATCTGAAAGAACAATGGTAATATGTGTGAATATAAAAATAAGAATATATGATATGGTTGTCAATGAGACAATACCCCACCATAAGAAAAAGGGTGTAGAAGCTAACAACTATTATTCACCGTAAGGCCTTCAATAATGAACAATACCCATACCAAGTATAGCAAAATATCAAAAAAGTAAAACCTCTTGTTTTTGTTTTGGTTAATCTGTTGACTTTACAATTTTAAGTTTAACTGTTCCTTACCGCAATTTTGTTACGTTGCTCTTTATTTTATAACAACTTTTTTACAGTACTCAATATTTGTTCAGTCATTCTGTAAATATGTAGAAAGGGATGACCCCAATTTTATACTTAGAACCCTGTTTCAATAGCTTCCTTTTAATTGAAAACCCTTTATCAAGGAAATCATGATAGGAACTGCTGAATCTTTAAAATATCGTTGCAACTTGGCATGAAAACACGGATTTTGTGTTATTTAAATTTGCTGTTACAAAATTTTGAAAATTATTTAAAATTAAAGAATGTATCTCCCTCATGCAAAGCTCTGATTCCTTGCCCGGCTTTGGCTTGACTTTTTTGTCCCTTTTGGTTTATAGCTCTTCATCTTTTTAATAAGCTTTGAATTTTCAAATATTTTGGCCTCGAGCATCACTGAAGAGACATTTATTGTCGAAATGCGCCTCTGGTGCAGAAAAATTGGTACCGTTTATGTTATTGGAGATACATTCATAAGCAGGCGCTATCAGAATGCTGCTTCAATGAAATAGAAAGTTCACAATTACGATAATTAAAATTGTACGTATTGTTTTCAACCGATCCTCATTGTCAATTTCTAGAAGTAGGTCAATAAATGAGTTACTCTATAACTGTATCTGTTGTATATTTGATTAATTGACGTTCTATTTAAAAAAAGTCTAAACACCAAACGAATTACGAAGTTGAATGCATTTAGGACCAAGAGTTTCGAAAGAGATTGATGTGTTCCACATAGTCATCTAACTTTAAATATTTAGTGAAAGAACTTTATCTGTATAGCGGATCGTGAAATTATAATGCTCAATTCGTTCGATTCTTCTTGGGAATCTAAGATATGAGTATGCCTTATACGAATATTAGACGAAATCGGTAAGAAAAGAAGCACAGTTTGTTTAAATAGGAATGCTGATGGTTTGGTAACAAAAAATCAAGTATATTGATGATTTCCGTGTCAAATAATGATTTGTTTGAGTCAGAGTGTATGTTTTTCACGAATGTGACTTACCGATTTAAAACATTTACCGGATTTGTAATAACATAAGCAACATATGTGGAGCAGGATCTGCTTACCCTTCCGGAGCACCTGAGATCACCCCAGGTTTTTGGTGGGGTTCGTGTTGCTTAGTCTTAAGTTTTCTATGTTGTTTCATCTGTAATATTATTTGTTTGTTTGTCTTTTTATTTTTGGCCTTGGCGTTGTCAGTTTGTTTTCGATCTATGAGATTGACTGTCCCTCTGGTATCTTTCGTCCCTCTTTTACAGTCAATTATATTTTCCCTTCCTTACGTGATATTTATCTACGATTGCCTCTCGTATTACCAAAAAGCAAATCTGATTAAATCTTTCAATATTTCTTTAAGTTTAGAATGTGGTATACTCTTGTAAAGTAAAATGGTGGTATACTATTGCAAGAGGAAAGATGCTTGTATTGCATATATTATAACAGATCTTTTACTTTTTTTTTAGAATCCATATCTGATTCACACCGCCCCTAGAGTTAGAAGCTTCACAATAACTCTAAAGCCCAACTTTGATTGCTAATAAAATGAAAAAAATAGTTTAGGAAGAGGTTTCGTTGAGCATTTGGCACATTTAGCAATATAACGTTGTGTGTAAGGACATTTATAGAAATTTGATATCGAGGACAGTATAGGAAACTTTGGTTGTAATTATATAAAGGAATACAGAATTGACATATGATTGTTATGGATTTCCATTTTTGCAAGTGTCGTAGGAGGACATGTAGATATTCTAAGTCGTAGGAGGACATGTTGATATTCTTAGTCGTAGGAGGACATGTTGATATTCTAAGTGAATTATCAATATATCATTCCGTTATCAAGCAGTCAATGTAATGTAATGTTAACTCAAAAACTATGTTGTTTGGGGTTTTACTGCGGGGAAAAATATATTTGTCATGGAGGTAGGAAACGTCATCCGGAACAGATATTTGAAGATAGATGTAGCAATAATGATCAGAGACATATTCCTCAAAATGCTGACGGAGATGATTTCCGTGCTTAGAGCGTAGCATTCTGCCTAATTAAAAAGTAAAATCACAAAAATACTGAACTCCGAGGAAAATTCAAAAAACGAAAGTCCCTAATCAAATGGCAAAATCAAAAGCTCAAACACATCAAACGAATGGATAACAACTGTCATATTCCTGACTTGGTACAGGCATTACTTATGTAGAAACTTGGTTTTATAGATAGCTAAAACCACTCACTTGTATGGTAGTTGCATAAAATTCCATCATATTGACAACGATGTGTGAACAAAACAAACAGACATAATAGGTATAAATGTCAAAAATAGGGGTACAGCAGTCAACATTGTGGTATTATCTTAATCATTATAAAAACAAACAAATATATAAACAAACATTTACCATGGAACAATAACACAATGACTGGATGTATAGGTACAGAGCCGTGTCAGATGTAACAAAGAAACACAAAAAGGCATACAGAAAAAGCACACCAGCAAAAATGAAAGAAAAGAATACAAAAATTATCATAGAACAATGACGGGATGTAAAAGTACAAAGCCACGTCATTGTAACTAAGAAACACTAAAAGGCATATTGACAAAGCATATAAGGAAAAATTAAAGACAAGAATACAAAAATTATCATAGAACAATAACACAATGACGGGATGTAGAAGTACAGAGCCATGTCAAATAGATACCACCAAAAACAGACAAAACAGTAAAAGTAATATTCATAAAGACAAATAAAAGAATATTAGTCAGTACCTAGAATCTATACTTCAAGACCATCGTGTATTATTTGTTAAGTTGTTAAGGAATATTTATTAACAATGTCTTGGTACCTTCCGATGAACTTTTTTAGAAAAAGGACGGGACGTTCTTTGACATACCCCTGGTTCATCAACTTTCTGCTCAGACACTGGTGACGCTTTACAAAGTTTAAGTAGTTGCTGCATGCTCTTGAATACCGAATAAGTTGTGAAATGTATATCCTATATGCAGGTGAAGTTAATATATTGCTACTAAGGTGGGGGGGG